ACGTGTTCGCAATATCCGTGAATAGTTTTATCAGGTTGGTAAGTCACTGAGTAAAGTGACTCTTTTTACATAACTAAGTCTTTTATTCAGCCAACGTTTTGGTAACTGTTTGCCACCTTCCTCAGGGTAATTCTGACTGGTTCACATTGCACTGCAGCACAGGTGTCACTGCCATGCATGGATCCCCAAACGTACTCTGTGTTCTCAATAGTTATTGTACTAGCGTATTTCAACAGTTCGTGCAATCATAAACTGTACATCAAGTGATTTCTTGTCCGTTTATGCTGGTGTGTTACGCCGAAGGGTTGTTATACCGGCTATACCGATACAGATATGCGTTCACATATATCCAGTTCTAACAACAAGGATGCCCTATAGAATCTTGGTGTCATTTATTTGTTTACAAAGCCGCAACCGTTTCGTAGATACTACCAAATATTTTGTGACACTGTTGATTGGACTACTGACGTGTTTCCGGGGAGATGTTGATGATGTTTGTGATGGTTACAGGTAAGGTTGTGAGGAAAATAAGAGCAACAAGGATGTTAGATGGAGTCTTGGTGTCTCTTGTTATCAGCCTCAGATCCGGAGAAACCGGCCCGCGAAAGGTAACAACACAAACAAGTGTCCGTAGGCGACAATTCTCCGTGAAGTTTTATATTTTGCAGATTGAGATAGCATACTAGTATTTCTTCTAATCACATAAGTATAATACCTCCCTGTTCTAATAAACTTATTTTTTACATCTCTCAAGTAGGAGCTCTGGGTCGAAGCCATAGTCACTGGGATCTGAAATGCAACTTTGAAGTACATGTCCATAAAAGTGCGTCTGTTGGATACTGTATGGATACTTACATGTATTTCGGATGGATAGTTCGTCGGGGACAAATTCAATAGCTAGTTTTCACTTCCATATGTGGCCACAATACATGCACTTCACGGCAAAGCGTGAGGATATTTTCACACTACGTATCACAAACACGAGAATTTATATATGTTTGTTATTGTCTTTCAGGGCACAAGACGCATTTTGTTACTAGTAGTCACACTGTCTTCAAATTACCCATGATGCATTGCTATATTCCCGGCAATTTGATAATCAGCCTGATGGGGTGCAATACTTTAAACACTCGTAACTACAGATAGCATTGACCGATTTTGTTGATTTAAAGCCCAAAATGCAGCGCATAATATGACTAATCAACATAACTTGTTACACAAGGCCCCATAGTTAGCCTGAATAAATGCCTGATTTAGGGAAAAACAATGAGTTTTTACACAAACAATTACCATCAAAATCGGAGTTTAAAGGCGTATAACTTCCTAAAAATATAGAATATTGGCAAAAAATCTATTGTGTTGTGATTACTGTGGCATGTTTTGTCTACAAACGAATTTTTCACCAAGAATTATTGATGTTTGATATTTTTTCCCGGCCCTTTGGATTTAGTCCCAAGGAACGAGGTCCATTTTGATGACGTCATTTGGTCACGTGATTACACCAAGAAATCTACTCATACAGACTTGCTATCATACATCAAAATAAACTTTGGTTATTGCAGATTCAAAAAATCTATGGTAGCACTGGTCCGTCTCGGTGACCAGTACAAAAAACGGCCTCGGCTCATGGACTAACAAGCTTGAATGGTCCTATCATGGAATGCAACTGATTTATAGAATTTCCTCATAAATTATGCAAATTACACCAAAAAACAGTTACTCAAGCAACTGGATATGATTTTGAAAACGTCAGACGTTTCAGCTAGTATCCACTAGCTTTCGTCAGTGACTGAGAGACCAGAGGGGAAAGCAGGTTTTTAAGTACAACCTGTTTATTGATATGCAAATAAAGTGAAGACAAATTTTTTGAAGTCGAAAAAGGAACAAAAGTTAGACAAGTCAAGACAAAATGATGCAAATTAGTCTGACAGCTCCTGTTATACAGAACAGGAGCTTAAGTGTTGTCTGTCCTCGGGGCTGGGAGTGCCAAATCCCAAGTGCCGGAAAGATCGACTCGTAGCCCCCCTTCCCTGTTGAGGGTGGGGTTGTACATTCTTTCATATATTGCCTCTTTGACACCCCGTTCCCACCAGC